AAATGAATTAAATTGAATTTAAAAAGTTAAGTTTCCATGAGATCGCCTGTAATTCTTTGAAACTCTGGAGTATACAGTACCAGTTACCTCACCACTCTTTATAAAACAATTAAATAATGTCACAGGTTGGTCTGGTGAATCTCCCTTGCACTGCTGCTAAGCTAAGTATATCCTTAGATAAGGAGACCAAAACTGCACACAATATTTCAGGTGCAGTTCCACTACAATTTCAGCAAGACATGTTTACTTCTGTGTTCTTGCAATGAAGCCCAACAGACTGTTTGCCTTTCAAATTGGTTGCTGCACTGTAAGCTAACTTGTACTGACTTTTGAAGACGAGCACTCCTTTTCCTTTGGATGCCAGCACTTGCCAACCTGTCAACAGTGAAAAAATCCTTCCTACTTCTACCAGAATGGCTAACTTCAGACTAAATCACATTATATTCCATCTGCCGTGTTTTAGCCCATTTACCTTAAAGTCAAAGTCTGCTCGAAGTCTCCTTATGTCCTCCTCAGAATTTACAACCCCAGTTGGATTTATGTTATCAGCAAATTTGGAAATATTACATTTGATCTCCAGGAACATTCCCAGTGACTACACACACACACACACACACACACAAATACAAATGTTATGGATTGCTTGTTGCAGACTGAAATCTGTCTCTCCTTGTTGCTGGGAGCAGTCACCCTGCAAAGGGGCTTGTATGGAAACTAACTGCACCTGTTGAGTAACATTTGCCAAAATCAGTCAGCCCACACAGTTTCACTGAGTGCTGGCTAGTTCACGCGATTTGGGGGCAAGATCTTTGAACTGAAGCTGTGGTCGAGGAATCGGAAGTGGGCACCAAACACACAGCCAGACAATGTGCTTCCTGGATTTGTAAAGGAACTACAAAGAGGTTTGTGCAGGTGGCACCAACTTTGTCCCATCAACTGCAGTGTCTGCAAAAAAAAGTAAAAGAAACAAAACTCAGAACTTGTCTGGTGCAGTGATTACTGGCCATCTGTCTCTCTGTCTCTGTCTCTCTCTGTCTGTCTGTCTCTCTCTCTCTCTCCCCTCTTTTCCATCAAGTTTCTGGTCATCTCCCACATGTGACTCCAGACCTACAGTAAAGGTGTTGACTCTTAACTGCCCTTTGGGAAATTAGGAATGGCACCCACATCCCACGAATAAATGCAAAAAAAATACACTTAGTGGTGTGGCACAGAGTTAGGATGGGGTCTGGTTTTCTTTTGGATTGCTAACGGTACTGAAGATTCTTCCTAAAGGGTGCATAAACCATTTGGAACTGTAAAGCTATTGAAGAAATATGAAGCTTATCAAAGACTGTCGAAAAGTGTCAAACTTGTCAATGACTGTCAAGAACTTCAGAGTTCCACAGGATGGAATAAAGAACAACAGAGATGGGGAAAGAAATAGGGTGTTATGAGGGTATAACGATACATGAGAGATGGGTGGAAGGGTATAGGATAATATGAGGGATAGTATGAAGGGCCCTGGAGATGGGTAGAGGACATTGGATGGAATGGGCTAGTTTGGATGTTTTATGGGGACTGTGTGGTGGTGAAGAGAAGTGAAGGCATTATATTATTCTTTTATTTTAATTTTCAGACCTGCTGCTGGAGCAGCGAAGTAGGCTTTCCACCCAGCTCACCTGAGAAGCAGATGGCCTTCTTAGCATTTCCTGGGTCATGTACCTCAACCCCTCTTTGGCCTGCCCCTCCTGGCTGAAAATGGGAAGTGCAGGTGGCCATTTATTAAGGTCAATTTTATACAGGCAACCTCTATTTCCTACCTCAAATTTTATCTGTTTTCACCATCTTTTGCCAAGTACTAGCTTATTCTGCAAAGTTATTAATATGCTGTAATTTATTGCAGTCATTCTCAATATTGACTGTGATCAATGTTGATGTCATTCACAAATTTAAAAATTGTGTTTTTTATTCCAAAGTCCAAAAGATGAATATAAATTGTGAGCAACAGTGATCTTCTACCATTCTAACTACCCTTTACTCTCAGCTTCTATCTTCTGATTTTGTGCAATCTAGTCTTCCACGTGTTCCCTGACTCCACATGGTCTGATTTTATTTATTGGTCTATTAAGGGGCACCTTCAAAGTGCTTTTGTATGTATGTGTGTTTGCATTTTCTCTTACGAAATGTACGACTAACTATTCATTATTTATTCCTCTTTTCTAGATGTGCTGCTTTTGCCTTTTTTAGTAGGGACTTCATTATTTTCCTACCAGCAGTGTTAAGCTGACTGATTTATTATTCCTGGGTATGCTTTGTTACCATTCTTAAATATAGGAATCATGTTAACTATTTAACATTATGATGATGGAAGATCATTGGTGAAGCAGCTGAAGATGGTCAGGTCTAGGACATCACCCTAAGAGACTCTTGCGGAGATTGAGATAATTGGGCTGCAACAACCACAATAACCTTTCTTTCTGTGAGGTATGACTTTAACGAGAGGTGTATTTTTCTATTGATTCCACTGATTTCTGTTTTAGTAAGCCTCCTTGATTCCACACTCGGTCAAATACAACCTTGATGTCAAGGGCAGTCACTTTCACCTCACCTCCGAAATTCAAAGTTGTAATGAGTTCTGGGACGAAGTAACTGACAGAAGCCCTCTTGATCATTGGTGTCAATACAGTGTGGAGCTGGAGGAACAGAGCATTTCAGGCAACATCACAGGAGCAGGAGAGTCGACATTTCAGGTTTACACCCTTCATCAGGACAGGCAAGGGAGGTCAGAAATAAATGGGGGAGCTGGGGCTGGGGCTGGGGGAAGGTAGGAAGTTGGGATGGTGATAGATGGATGCATTAGGAGGTAGTGGAGATTGGTCAGTGGGAAAGGTGGGGCAGATAGATGAGAAAGAAGATCGACAAGATGTGCCAGGTCAAGGAGGCGGGGATGAGAGGGAGGGTTGGACATGGGATGAGGCCAGGGGTGGGGAGATTCTGAAACTGGTGGATTCTATGTTGAGGCCATTGGGCTGTAAGCATCTTAAAGGAGTGATTATGGGCACCCACATGGATCCAAGCTAAGCCTGCCTCTTCGTAGGATATGTGGAACAGACCCTCTTCCGCTGTTACACCGGCACCATTCCTTACCTCCTCCTCCGCTAAATTGATGACTGTATCTGCGCTACCTTGTGCTCCCATGAGGAGCTTGAACAGTTCATCAACTTTACCAACACCTTTCACCCCAACCTCATATTCACCTGGACCATCTTCAATTCCTTCCTCCCCTTCCTGGACCTCTCCGTCTCTATCTTCGGTAACTGTCTCAGCACTGACATCTATTTCGAACCCACCAACTTCCATAGCTACCTGGACTACACCTCCTCTCATGCACCCTCCCACAAAAATACAATCACTTACTCCCAATTCCTCTGACTCCACCACATCTGGCACATCCCAGATGTCCTCCTACTTCAAGGACTGCAACATCCCCCACCATTGAATCATAATGCCCTCAACCGTATCTCTTGCATTTCCCGCACTTCTGCCCTCACAACCCCTACCCCCTCAAAAATAATGACAGAATCCCCCTTGTTGTCACATATCATCCCACCAACCTTCGCATCCCGCGTATCATCCTCCACTCTTTCTGCCACCTACAATCCAACCGCACCACCAATAAGATATTTCCCTCCCCACCCTTATCTGCCATTTGAAGGAACCACTCACTCCACGATTCCCTCATCTACTCCACACACCCCACCAACTCCACCACACCTGGCACCTTTCCCTGCAACCGCAGGAAGTGCTACACCTGCCCCTACACCTCCCCCTCACCTCCATCCAAAGCCCCAAACAATCTTTCCAAATCCGACCTGTATATCTTCCAACCTGGTCTACTGTATCCGTTGCTCCCAATGTGGTCTCCTCTACATCAGTGAGACCAAGCACAGACTCGGGGACCATTTCATGGAGCATTTGCGCTCTGTGACAATCGACAATACCTTTCAGTCACCAACCATTTTAAGTACCCCTCCCACTCCCTGGGTGACATGTCCATCCTGGGCCTCCTCCAAAGTCACAATGATGCCACACACAAGCTGGAAGAGCAGCACCTCCTATTCCGCCTCGGGAGCTTACAGCCCGATGGCCTCAACATGGAATTCACCAGTTTCACAATCTCCCCACTCCCGGCCTCATCCCATGCCCAACCTTCCCTCTCATCTCCGCCTCCTTGACCTGACACAACCTGTCCATTTTCTTTTTCAATTATCCACCCCGCCATTCTCACTGACCAATCCCCACTACATCCTACCTGCATCCACCTATCACCATCCCACCTACCTCTCTTTATTTCCAAGCTCCCTTCCCCCTCCCGGTATTGATGAAGGACATAAATCCGAAACGTTAGCTTTCCTGCTTCTCTGATGCTGCCTGACCTGCTGAGTTCCTCCAGCTCCACACTGTATTGACTCTGACTCCAGCATCTGCAGTTCTTGCTATCTCCTGATCATTGGTGAGTAGGCTGAGCAAGTGTCCCTTGACAGCACCGTATTGACACCTTCAACAATTTCACTGATGATCAAGTTTGGCTTGGCCTGCTTTTACAGGACAACATCTAGTCAATATCCTACATTGTCGGTTAGATGCCAGTATTGTATCTAGACTGAAACAGCTTGCTGGATGGCATGGTTAGAGTGCAAAACTTTAATAAAACGGCGACAATTTTGTCAGCACTTATAGCCATTGCAGTTTCTAGTGTCTTCAATCATTATCTGATATTCACTGGTATCTTGATGCTGTAGACCTTAAGAGGAAGTCAAAATAGAGCACTCACTTGGATCTTCTAACTGAAGGTGATTGCAAATTCTTTGGCCTTATTTTTTGCACTGATGTGCTGAGCTGCCCCATCATTGAATATTTGTGGGAATATTTGTAGAGCCTCCTCCTCCAGTTAATTGTTTAATGGTCCACTGTTGTAAGAGTATCTTCCCGGAGGCAGTAACAACTCAGAGGCAGAGGAGTTTGTTTAAGTGAATTGAACAGTTTATTACCAGCAATTACTGCTGAATACAGGGAGATGAATTCTAGGTGGACACGCAGGAATACCAAACTCACTCTGATTCATGAGCATGCTTTACAGCTTTTTATATGCTGAAATAAAAACTTGTCTAGCAATCATCAGCAGTTTATCTCCATCCCCCTTTCTAGTGTGGTCACTCCTTAGGGCACATCATGCGCTCTCATTTTAGTTTGATAATTTAATCAGCTATCTACTTTGTCAGCTATTCCTGTCCTACCAACCAGCAATCCAACAGTCAGGGTGCATGGTTCTGTGGTCTAACTGAAATGTCACAGAGGTGTTGGCCATTTCAACATAGTCAGCAGACCACATTGTTCCACCTGAATAAGCCTTGCTTGAGCATGTTTAGTCAACCATTTCATGTTTATTCTATTATACTTATTTGTGTGTGCATGGGTGGGACAGTCTTCCCTTTCAGTTCCCCCTGTTGGCCCATGGCCTACTCATGGCCCATGGGACAATGTATGCTCAGATAATTATCCCTTGTACCTCCTCTACAGTCAGTGGGGCTGATGGGGGAATGAGCTCTTCCTTCTTCCTTGGTAGCAGCCCATTTCAGCAAGTTTTTCAATACAACAGTTATTATTATTAAAATATTATTATTATTAAAATTATTAGCACAAGCAACTGTAGAATAACGAGCACGTGAGATACAATACAAATCCACTGATGGATGTAAACATTTAGTCCCCAAACCAAAGTCCTGAGCCAGCAGGGTATGGCTTGTAATACAGTCTTAACAAACTGTTTAGCCTGACGGATCTTGATAGATGTGTTGACCCATTCATGTTCCAATCGCTTTGACTCTTCCGCCAATTGCTCCCATGATGTATGTGAATGCGGTTTCTGGGGAATCTTTTCTTGGAGCAATGTGGTAACATTACTCAAGGTCACCGGTGAGAACCAGCCGATATATTCTTGCCTGCCTTCACCAAGAATGGGTTCAATGATGGTACCACTGGACAGAGTAATGGGATTTTTCAGATTCCAGATGCACAGTCTGTGGCCTGCTAGGTTATAGGTAACTCCATTCTTTGTATAGTTTTGGTCTGTGGTGGTGACGAAGATGGAGTCCAGGAGGGCATATACCACTGGCATGCCATAGCCCTTGACCCATGTAATATCACAGTTTTCCTAATGATGCAAGCCACAGGGCTGATGCTAACAGCGTCTTCGGGGCACTGAAGGATGTCTCAATGATTGCTGCAGAGCTGAATGTCAATGGCCTATATCTGATTGTGTTGATGAATGGCAAAACAACGTCCATCATGGAGCGTAGCTTGGAGGGTTCCATTTCAAATGCTCATATCTTGGATGTTCAGGAGGCTGTATGTTTTTTGCACGTTGTGTGGAACATGCAAAAGTGAGGTGATGATCTTCTTTTGACTTAAAATACTGTCCCATAGCCAGTAAGCATGAGAAATGTCTCTGAGACCTTGAGTGCTCTTCATATTTGTCAAATTAGCCAAATGTTGATTGGTTATCCAGATAGGGACCAAATTATTGCGAGGTGCCTGCAGTTGCATCAGCTAAGGCTGGTGATGCAACCAGGGAGCCTAGCTCAGCCTACAGATTGCTCTGGTGTTTTCATTGACTTGGTCAATGAGCTGCTTGCTAGGCAGCTGTATAGGCTTGATCAAAGCGATGGTGCAGATGCTTACTGTAGTTTGTGGTGAGTTGCTGAACATTGAGTTTGTCTTGTAGCTGGTTACAGATATTTTTTCGTAATTGGTTAAGTTGGTCAATGAAGACTTCTCGATCAAAGGAGCTAACAGACACTACGCGTGCTGTATACCCAGCTCCTGCCATTTCAGCAAGCCCACATTTAATTCATTGATTTTTTTGGTCCAACTGAACTAAGGGTCTTTGTTGTAGAATATCTGAGAAAAAAAAAAAGTTATTTGTTCTTTTGGGCAAGGAGTGGGCAGTTTCAGATTGACCTGGATCAAGAAGTGAATCTTATTTATCTGGAGGGGTTAAAAACTCTTGGGCTTCTGTTTCTTCTGAGGCTAGGCCATTACCCAGTGTATAGGTTATATTTTCATCACAAGCAGGGCTAGCGGGGGTTGGTCCAGGTGTGGGTGGTTTCAGCCATTGTCCTACTCAGATCTGATACTGCTTTCTGTCAGTACGTGAGTGCCTGTTTTCTCATTTGGTGCATTTCCTATAATGAACGGTAGAGTGTATGATGACAGAGCAGTCTCTACATTTCAAGGTACGATTGATACTAACAGTACACCACTGCGGTTTACTGCTACAATCCCACATTTTGGGTTTGGGACCATACGATGGTATCATTTATTATTCTGATCTGCATTCCTTTATATTGCTGCTGGTTACTTTGCTTCACAAGGATGAGGAGGTTTCAGTCACAATGATCCTTAATATCAGGGGTTATGTTATAGCATACTGCTGTGCTAGTCCCTTCTCCAAAAGTGTCAGTAATGGGTTTTCCATCCGTATCTATGCAGGTTAACAGGGGAATACCCCGCGCACAGGTAAATCGGATAGTCTCTTCCCTCCTTATCTACCATTCGCCATTTTGGCAGGTGTCAGTATTATCAGTATAATATATTCTGCTAATCTGTGGTATAAGAGTGGTATAGTTGCGGTTATGTTGGCAGGCCAGTGAGAGCATGGAGTAAGCTTCTATGGTTACGTTGGTGTGATCACTGGTCTGGGTTATCACCAGCGCATCATTGTTGTAGCCGACAACAAGGGCCCACTGGATCAAGAGGTACCACCTGTGGAAACATAATGTGGGACGTACGGGTGCAAGATCTTTCCCATGCTGTTGGTTTTCAAAAATTTTCAATTTGGGATGGATGGCACCCATTTCCCTGGCCGGCTTCGTTAACTAACACTCCACGATTACCTGTTATAACTACTTCATAAGGTCCATACCATTTTGGTGCCAACCCCCCTTTTGGTGGTATTCCTTGTACTAGGACCCTGTCTCCTAACTGAACAGTGGGAGCAAGAGAGGAAGTGTCTTCCTGTTCCAAGTCATGAACCTGTTGTATTTGTGTCACTTGATCCTTCAGCTGTTGTAGGTGGGCACCTAGGTGTCGCATACATTCCCAAACACCCTCTTTTGCATTTATCATCTCTTCTCCCCCAGTGAACAGGTTTTGCAGCAATTTCATAGCGTGTCCTGTCATCAGTTCAAATGGTGTCAGTCTGCTCAAGCTATGAGGCGTCCCTCTCTGCGCGACTAATATAGTGGGGACGGCAGTAGTCCATTTGACCCCTTGCTCCTGACATACCTTCGTCAATGCCTGTTTCAAAGTTCTATTTGTCCTTTCTACCATTCGTGAGCTCATGAGCGAGTTCGGGGAGGGCATCTAAAAGTTAGTGTTTCTCCCCTGGTGTCAGGGTCATTTCTACCATCTTGGTGGTAGGTCCTCCTCAGGGGCTTTGGGTTGTTTGGGTACAAACAGGTCTAAGATGGCACTGAGCTCCCCCACTGTATCCATTATCACTTAGTCAATGGTCATCATCATGATGCTCGTATTTGGCTCGTTCGCTATCAAGGTCCCAATCATCAGGTCCCTCATTAATAACTTAGCATCCTTGGTCCACACATTCTACAGATTCATCCAGTCCAAAGTTGCTGTTAGCAGCAGAAGGTGGCGGGGGCGAGGGACAGGGGTGGTAAGGTGACAGGTTCCGAAAGAAGGCACCATGTGGACCTTCAGGAGACAAACACAGTCTCACACAAGCCTCAGCCTCCTTCTGGGCCACAGCTATCTGAAATTGTTTTTGTTTGTGAGCTGTATAATAACTTTGTTTGTATAACATAGCTACAATAATACATTCCTTCTGAGCTTTGTCCTTGTTATTTTTCTGTTCCCGCCACTAGACCTTTTGTTCGACGACAGGTTGACGTCTGTCCCAACCGTTTTTCACCATTTTGTTAGTAAGTTTCTTGTTTGCTTGAAATGCTGTCTGTAAAATGGAACCTTCTGATCCCCAATTTTCAAGGGGTTTAGGATCTGAAGTAGCCATTGTTTAACTCCCACCCTTAACTTGGTTGAGTATTAAAATTTCTCGGCTTCTCAATCCATTTTTCGCTCCAGATGGTGGTGTCTACGCCCACCTCACCTGGCCGTCACGTGGCCCACTTGGGCTCTTAATTCCAGCTCACTCTGGGTGCTTGTCAGCTTTGTTGGACACAACCTGCTCGTTTCTGAATAGCCGAGGTCTGAGATCTTACTCAACCAATTTAAGTGTGAACGATGTCAATGTTAAGTGCTTTTAGTCAAAAGACTTAAGCTCTATCAAACACAAACAATTCTCAGACTGCATTGTTCGCCCCTACAATCTGAGTTCCTTAACTTATTCTATCTGTGGAGTCCATCCCACAAAGTATATTATTCTCTATCTCTTTTTTTCTCTTTAAATAATTCCCTACCTGTCTGTCCATCGGAGGTTTTCATTAGGGCTTGCTCTGACGCTAGTCCATCAATGCACTTCTACTTCTTATTTGAGTTCACTTGAGCGCTAGTCCTTCAGCGCCCCATCTGATTTACTCCTCACCCTGCCTCCATCCACTGGTTCATTCAACTGTTTTATAAAATGGGTGTCACAGTTTACAAAGGCTATTGACATGGGCTTGCTCCACCTACAGGGTGGTAAAATATAACATACTCACCCTCTTAGCAATGCCACGACAACAGTCTCAAGCGGGACACCCTGCTCGCAGCGCCAATCTGTAAGAGCGACCTTCATGGAGGCAGTAACAACTCTGAGGCAGAGGAGTTTGTTTTAACCGAATCAAGCGGTTTATTACAAGCAGTGACCAGTAAATGCAGGGAGAGGAATTCTAGCTAGACATGCAGGAATGCTGAACTCACTCTGATTCATGAGCACGTGTTTTTATACACTGAAATAAACAACTTGTCTAGCAATCATCAGCAGTTTATCTCCACAGCCTTTTCTAATGTTGTCACTCCCTAGGGCACATTAAACATTAGTTTGATAATTTAATCAGCTATCAACTTTGTCAGCTATTCCTGTCCTGCCACCCTGCCTAATCTCGTCAACCAACTATCCAACAGTCAGGGTGCATGGTCCTGTGGTCTAACTGAAATGTCACAGAGGTGTCAGCCATTTCAACATAGTCAGTATACCACATTGTTCCACCTGAATAAGCCTTGCTTATGCATTTGCAGTCAACTATTTCATGTCTATTCTAATATATTTATGTGTGTCTGTTTATGACAGAGTCTTCCCTTTCAACTACTATTCATACTTGGATATAGCAAGACTGCAATGCTATTGGGTGTGGATTTGGTAAGAACTGTCGTCTTTCTCAGCTGCAATTTTCCTGCTTCCAAACTGCACACCCTCTTGTCATATGTTACCTAGTGATAATTGGACTAACCAATAATCCTGAATGGATGGGCATTCCAGTAAATCATTTTCACCAATTTTGCACCCATAACAGGCAAACGCTGAAAATCCTTCACCCTTGACGACTATTCATCTTACAGTATGACAATACATTGACCTTCTTTGCCCTTATTTGAACAGGTCAATAATCATCATTTGATGAATAAGTTAACACTGAATTAATGCAAACTTTCACACATGACTCCATATACATGAGTAATAAAGTGCAATTTCAGCCTAGATTCAATTTTAATTAATGCAGTCCAAAATAAATGTCAACTATGTAATTTTTAGCCTAGAACTTGTTTTTTTCTTCGTTTCATTTATTCTGATTGAAATGAGCAAAAAAATTAAGTTTTTTTAATATAATGTCTTCCTTGACTACAGCTGTTTATGGCTTTTGAAATACATTTGTAATGAAAGAAATGAATGTAGCCACAACAAGTTCCTATATTGAGCAGGTAATTTGCTTTCATGATGTTGATTAAGGGGTAAACATTGGCTGTCAACTGTCCCCCAACTGACATGTTTCTTTTTTAGATGCATTTTCAAGACTAGTATTAGCAAAGGTGGCTTGGATGCACCTGCTCTACAAATTGATCATGGAACTCAGGAGGTTCTTCCTACCTAGGTACATTAATGAGTAAGGGAATTGGAGGTTGTGGGAAGAAGACAGAATTAGAAGTAGAATTGAAGATTATCAAATCAACCATGATCTTATTGAATGACAGATCAGACTTGATGGGCTTCTTCTGCTCCAATGTCTTATGGTCTTATTGAATAATGTTCAGCACCTCAGATACTGATGTACTCATTGTTCAAATGCAGCAAGACCTGGACAATCTTCAAGATTATGCTATTTAGTAGCAAGCAACATTCGTACCACACAAGTGTCAGACATGAACAATTCCCAGCAAGACAGGGTTCAACTTTTATCCCCTTGGCATTCAATGACATTACAATCACTGACGAGACTATCAACATCCTGGGAGTTAACATTGACCAGAAACTGAACTGAACTAGCCATATAGATACTGGGGATTTCTGTGGTAAGTAACTCAACTCCTGACTCTTCAAACCCTATTGATCGTCTACAAGACACAAATCATGATTGTAATCTAACACTCTTGACTTGCCTGAATGGGTACATTTAAGAAGTTTGTCATTATTCATGTTGAAGTGGTCCACTTGACTGATATCCCATTTAACACCTTCAGTATTCATTCACCCCCACCAAAAATACACAATGGCAATAATGTGTACCATTTACAAGGTGGAAAGCAATAACTCACCTGGCCTCTTAGAATCAGCTTCCAAAGTCCATTATTGCTACCATGTAGAAGAACAATAGCAGCAGATAGATGGGTACACCATCACCTACAACTTCCTCTTCTAATCATATGTTATCCTAACTTGGAATTATATTGCCTTCAAAGTGGCTGGATCAGAGTCCTGAAATTTTCTCCATAACAGAATTGCAGATGTGTCTAAAATACATCGACAGCAGTAGTTCAAGAAGACAGCTCACCAAAGTAATCACCAAGGATAGTCATAGATAGGCAATTAAGGCTAACCTAGCCAGCGATGCCCACATCCAATGAATTAATAGGTTTTTAATAAAATCTGTGTCTTCTTTTCCTTTTTCCTTTAATGGGGTTTGGGCATCACTGGAAAGGTCAGTGCCCATACTGAGTTGCCCTTGAACTAAGTGGCCACTTCTGAGGGCAGTTAAGAATTAACCACATTGTTGTAGATTTCAATGTAGGCCAGCTATAATCCAAAAAATGCAGCAGACATGCTTCTACTGTTCCACTGAAGGGTCTGTTGAAATACTTTTTTGAGTCATACCATTGAGATTTTTTAATAAGTAGACCTCAGTTTAATTGTACATTATATCATACATTTGGCAGTACTTCAACGGGAGACTACAAAACCTTGATCAGATGTCATTATGCATTTTGATTACTGCAGGAAATCTTATTTAGAGATTCCTGTAATTGGATAAGCAGGCTGTATAAAATCAGGCAGTTAGTAGGCTTTGTATGGAAAAGACAAAAGGAGCAGGTGTTTCCTTCTCAGAGACTTGCAGTATCAGTTTCCTCCAATTGGTGTCACATGATTAGAATCATCATGTACATTTTCTGTGTTATACATAGCTGTAGTTGACCTTACTTGGCAAGGTCTCACCAGTGACAGACAAACTCAGACGTTCTGAGGAAGGGTCACTTGGCCCTAAACAGTTACTCAGATTTCTCTCCACAGATACTGCCAGACCTGCTGAGCATTTCCAGCAATTTCTGTTTTTGTCACAAACTAAATGTTGTTTAGTGGAGGTTAGATCAGTGATTACTAGAGATCAGTACTTACTGACCACACTTGTCCTTCCTCATCTACAGAGAAGAAAGCCAAGAAAAATGCTTCCTAAATTGTGTCCTTCCCTTATCGTGGCTTATTTTTAGATACAGTTTTCAGGATCTGCAAGCAATTCCAATAAGAGAGGTATATTGTCTTCTGTAGAAAATTAACAGAACCCTTTCTTTAAACAGTATATTAAAGATAAAGGATTGAATTTTTTAGCTAAATGTCAGTTTTGTTGAGTTTCACAGAGGATTTCTCTTCACAAGGTTGAATGAGATTTCCCCCCATATCTTACCAAACACCTTTCATTAACGATTTTACCTGCACCTATGGCACACCTCTCACTCCATTCCAGCCCCATTCCACCACTCACCATTCCTGGAACAACTCACCACTCACAGGGTATCCCCTGATACTCCGGCATTCCTGGCACCCATGCCATCTTTAAAAGGTCAGAGATAGCAAGAACTGCAGATGCTGGAGTCAGAGATAACACAGTGTGGAGCTGGAGAAGCACAGCAGGTCAGGCAGCATCAGAGGAGCAGAAAGAAGGGTCCCGACCCAAAATGTCAGCTTTCCTGCTCCTCTGATGCTGCCTGGCCTGCTGAGTTCCTCCAGCTCCACACTGTGTTATCTTTAAAAGGTTGCTGTGCACCCAGACAAGTGTTGACATTCCAGCATCGCTTTTCTCTAGTAATGTAATGGCACAGCAGCCACATTGCTCACTGCCCATAGCTGACACTCACTTGCACATACAACTACATTCTCATACCCTAGTTGCTGTTTAACTACCAGGCCACAGAGGGTATCTGTCCTGAGCCACATCTCATCCCTCACTTACCTACTGCTACACAACCCCCAGTGCCCACTGTAGGCCAGCATTTTATCATGGTCCAGTAGGGGAATGTTACATAGAACATAGAACAGTACAGCACAGAACAGGCCCTTCGGCCCACGATGTTGTGCCGACCTAATATCCTACTCTAAGATCAAACTAACCTGCATACCCTTCATTTTACTATCATCCATCTGCCTATCCAAGAGTCGCTTGAATGTCCCTAATATATCTGACTCCACTACCACCGCTGGCAGCGCATTCCACGCACCCACCACTCTCTGTGTAAAGAATGGACAAAGAGATGGCAGACCAGTTGAACAAGTAATTGGATCTGTCTTCACTAAGGAGGACACAAATAACCTTCAGGAAATGCTAGATGGCAGAGGGTCAAGCGTAAGGAGGAACTGAAGGAAATACTTATTAGTCAGGAGATGGTATTGGGGAAATTTATGGGATTAAATCCCAACAATTCCCCAGGGCCTGATGCTGTGCATCCCAGTACACTTAAGGAAGTGGCCCTAGCATTGGTGATCATTTTCCAGCAATCCGTAGACTCTGAAAGCCTTCCAACACACTGGAGGTTAGCTGACATAACCTCACTCTTTAAAACAGGAGGGAGAGAGAAAATGGGAAATTACAGGCCAATTAGCCTGACATTGGTTGTGGGGAAAATGCTGGAGTCAATCATTAAGGATGTAATAACTGAGCATTTGGAAAGCGGCGACAGAATCGGTCCTCGTCAGCATGGATTCACTAAAGGGAAATCATGATTGACCAATCTTCTGGAATATTTTGAAGATGTGACCAGTAGCGTGGACAAGGGTGAATCAGTAGATATTGTGTATCTGGACTTTCAAAAGGCTTTTAACAAGGTTCCAAACAAGCGATTAGTAAGGAAAATGAAAGCTCACAGTATCAGAGGTAATGTATTGATGTGAATAGAGAGCTGGTTGGCAGACAGGGGGCAGACAGCTGGAATAAATGGGTTCCTTTCAGAGTGGCAGGCAGTGATGAGTGGGCTACTGCAGGGTTCAGTGCTGGGACCCCAGCTGTTCACATTATACATTAATGATTTGGACAAAGGAATTGAATGCAACAACTCCAAATTTACAGATGACACTAAGCTGGGTGGCAGTGTGTGCTGTGAAGAGGATGCTAAGAGGCTGCAGGGGGACTTGGACAGAGTGGCTGAGGGGGAAAATACTTGGCATATGCAATATAACATAGATAAACAGGAAGGCAGATTATTATCTGAATGGTGGCAGTTTAGGAGAAGGTGAGGTGCAACAAGACCTGGGTGCCATGGTGGAACAGTTGCTGAAG